GCCACAACATTTGGCTATTGGGTGGCAGCTGGCTCAAGGAGTAGGGTGCTGTCTCCATATACCAGAGGTGGCCAGTTCAAACTCAGCCCTGGCCAAAAACTGCAAAAAATAATAATAATAAATAAATAGCTGGCTATTTTTGTTGCAGTTTGGCTGGGGCCAAGTTTGAACCCACCACCCTCAGTATATGGGTCTGGGCCCTACTCACTGAGCCACAGGTGCCACCCCACTTAACAAAATCTTAAAAAGTATAGTTTTGGTTCTTTCTCCACTCCTGGAGACTCCTCTCCCTCTGGAATGTATTTTCATTTTGTATCATTCTGTATAGCTTTATTCTGCACATTCACTTTGTATAGCGACCTTTTTCCTAGAATAAACTGTTTGTGGGAAGGGGGAGAGTGCGGCGTTTTGGGCATTCACCATGGCTCACCCCTATAATCCCAGCACTCTTGGAAGTTGAGGCAGGAGGATTCTTTTAGCTCAGGAGTTTGAGACCAGCCTAAGCAAGAGTAAGACCAGTATTTCTATACTAAAAATAGAAAAATTAGCTGGGTGCTGTGGTGGGCACCTGTAGTCCCAGCTACTCAGGAAGCTGAGGCAGGAGGATCGCTTGAGCCCAGGAGTTTGAGGTTGCTATGAGCTATGATACCATGACACTCGACCCAGGGTACAGAGTGAGACTTCTGTCAAAAAAAAAAAAAAAGAGTTGAGGTGGAGTTTTAATATTTATAGATTTAACTATTTTAAAGAAACCTACATCAACCCATTAGCTCAAAAAGCACATCAGTGTTGTAAGCTCTGTTTGGCCTCTCAGATACCCTTAGCAGGATGGCCCTGTGTATCCAAGTCTCTGTGCTCTGGTGACACAGCACCCTCTTTTACCCAGTAGCCTTCTCGTCAATTTATGGTTTAGAAATACAGTGTGTACCAAATATTTAGTTGGTGTTAACAAATACCCCCAAGTAACTATTGACCCCAATGCATAAGAGCAGCTGCATTCTGTCTGAGACGGCATCCCGAGTGGCAGCAGCCTCAGCATCCTCCCTGCTCCTCAGAGCAGTCACTTCTGGGCTTCTCTGTGGCTGGTTTATCAGGATGCTGCCCGTGTGTGAGGAGATTAGAGTCAAAATATTCCTGCTATAAAAGTTTTTCTTCATGGCTCGGCAACTGTGGCTCAAGTAGCTAAGGCGCCAGCCACATACACCTAAGGTGGTGGGTTTGAATCCAGCCTGGGCCCACCAAACAACAATGACAGCTGCAACCAGAAAATAGCCGGACGTTGTGGCGGGTCGCCTGTGGTCCCAGCTACTCGGGAGGCTGAGGCAGGAGACTCTTTTGAGCCCAGGAGTTGGAGGTTGCTGTGAGCTGTGATGTCACAGTACTCTACCCCGGGTGACAACTTGAGGCTCTGTCTCAAAAAAAAAAAAAAAATTTCTCTTCATTATAAATACTTGTATTTTATAGCATACTTATTAAGTAGAGGAATTATTTAATAGATTTGATCTCTTCTATTAAATCCTCTTTAGATTTGGCTTGAACCCATGAAACCCATCATTAGGCAAATACGAAGTAAGTCCTTTGTTTAACTCTTCAAAATTCTGTTCATTTAAGGCTCTTTGTCCTAGGGTGTTCAAATTCAGGGAACATTCAGATATTCGTTGTCGCCACTGTGTGAATAGCAGTGAAGTCATTGCTGACATCAGATGAACTTGGGAGTCATTTTGCTTTTTGGTGTTAAACTGCAATAGACCAGTTTAGGGGTGAGAGAAACAGTAAATTAAATCAGATGGTTCTAGATGACTTGCTGCAAAGTTGAAATTCATGGGTGGTGCCTGTGGCTCAAAGGAGTAGGGCGCCAGCCCCTTATGCCGGAAGTGGCGGGTTCAAACTGAGCCCTGGCCAAAAAAAAAATAAAACAACAAAGTTGAAATTCATGATATATTCTGTTGATATCTTAATTTTTGGTCAATCTGTAGGAATAAATATGCAGTTTCATGTTAGGCCATGAAAAGATACTGAGATTCCTCCTTTAAGTAGCATTTTATCAAAATAGTAATGTTTTAATACTATAAACATAATTGTGAATATAATTATTTTTGCTACTCTCTTTATTAAATTTAAAAATGAAGGCAGATATTAACGCTTCTTAGTTCTTACATAATTGTTTACGATGAAGCCTCTAGTTGTCTGAATTCACCCACAGTGTTTCTGTTACTGAGCTGAGGAGAGAAGCTGGTGTAGAAGTGACTCTGTTTGCGACAGGTGCCATTAAGGTTGCCGTGGCATTTCAGCAAAACAGTTGCTCTTTTCTCTTTGAAGAAAATTGCCTGGCTGTGTTATTAAAATTCAGTGACCTGAAGACATTCAGATTAGCTAATATTTTATGCCTTTTCTTTACAGTGATCAGATTGTTCTAGTTCAGTATAGTAAGTGGTGATAGTGTTTTTCTTTCATTAAAGTATATATGGATTTCAAAAATAATTACTACTACTAATAGAGTAAACACCTTAACTTTTATCACTTTTTTCCTAAAACCTCAATTAAAAAATTTAAAAATATGCAGTTTTCTACTTGTTTTGAAGTTTTTCCTGAGTAATCTCTGCTTAATGCAAAAGATTTTAAATTTCTCTTCAATATGTGATTTGTACTTAGGACTCATGAGTTCATGTATAAAAAATTTCTTAAAATCATCTTATTTGAAAAGATGTGCTTTTACAGTTCATTTGAAAGCAGTAGCTCAATTATACAGTAATGTGTGGAAAGAGTAACCACAGAGACTGACCTTACTTGTGAAGTTTAAACTTTTTCCTTTTACAGGGCCAAAGAATACAGTGCTTCGCCTGGCAGTAAAATTCTTCCCACCTGATCCTGGTCAGCTGCAGGAAGAGTACACAAGGTGACTAGAGCTGGCAGGGCTTGTGCTCACCTATTGTCTCCCACAGCACAGACTCACTGAAGGAACGAGCCCACTGTACACAAGAAAGGCAGCATAGACAGAGAGGAGTGAAAAGGAGCATTTGGGCAGCTGACTCTTCAACAAGGACAAATGTGAACAGGACTTAGGAGAGAGGGAGGTCTTTGTTACAAAATGGAATGGATGGCTGGGCACCTGTTGCTCTATGGGTAGAGCACTGGCCCCATGCATTGGGGCTGGCGGATTCAAACCAAGTCCAGGCCTGCTACACAAACAGCAACAACAACAAAATGGAATGGATGTTAGGATAATATTGAACCAAGAGTCTCCACATGAGCATACCTCTATGCATCTTCATAAAGTTCTTAGGAATCTTGCCCATATAGACACATATTTACCAACAAAATTCATATAATTTGGGAGAAGTACCAGTGTATTTGTCTTTGTAAATACGGAGAACAGAAATATTTCAGGTGATTTCTTTTGTGCTACTCTTGAATTCAAGCTTGATTCTTTGCAGAAATGACTTTTTAAAATCTTAACTGTTGTTTCATCTGGGCAGGAGTATTATAGAAGCATTTTTCCTTGCTGTGATTGTTTTGAGTTTTTTTTTGGTACTCATTTGTCTATCAATTTTATAATCAAGAATGAAGTAGTAACCTAAAAACCATCCAACTTAAAGGCTGGGCACAGGGGCTTACACCTGTAATCCTAGCATTGTGGGATGCCGAGACGGATGGGTCGCCTGAGCTCAGGAGTTCAAGACCAGCCTGAGCAGGAGTGAGATCCCATCTCTAAACAAAAAATAGCCAGGCGTTGTGGCAAGCCCCTATAGTCCCAGCTACTCAGGAGGCTGAGGCAAGAGTATCACTTAGCCCAAGAGTTTGAGGTTGCTGTGAGCTATCATACCATGACACTCAATCCCAGGGCAACTAAGTAAGACTCTTGTCTCAAATAAATATGTATGTATGTACATACATACCAACTCACAACCCAAAGTCAGATCTAAGATAATGTGAGGTTATAGTTATAGCAGAGTAATGTTTTAGCCTTCTTAGCTGGAAGTAGATTTATAAATGAATTCTGGGTGTCTTTTTTTTTTTTAATTTTTTTTAATCCATCTCACGTACCCTGCCAGTGCTACAGTGCTGAGGTCAGAGCAAAAGGCAGGTGAATTCCCTCTTAAGGTTTTTGCAGATCATTTTAACACCATGAAATTGCTGGCTGTCAGCTGCGAGGAAATGCAGAGATCATGTTAGTTCAGCTTCTCATGTAAGGAAACTAAATTCCAAGGATAAGAGAGTATTTTTTTTTTTTTGGCGACAGTCTCACTCTGTTGCCTTAGGTTGAGTGCTGTGGCGTCAAAGCTCACAGCAACCTCCCACTCCTGGGCTTAGGCAATTCTCTTGCTGCAGCCTCCCGAGTAGCTGGGACTACAGGTGCCCACTACAACAGCTGGCTATTTTTGTTGTTGTTGTTGTTGCAGTTTGGCCGGGACTGGGTTTGAACCCGCCACCCTCAGCATATAGGGCTGGCGCCCTACTCACTGAGCCCCAGGCACCGCCCAGGATGGGAGAGTATTTTTATGAATGAACACAGATTGTATCTTAATAGTATATTAAAGATCTGACATCTACCAAAAAAGTCCCTTTTGAGGGATTTTCTTTAAAACATTTATCACTGAAAAACGATGACTAACAGAGAGTGTCCCTGATTCAGGGTGCTGGGGGGCCGAGGTGGGTGGATTGCCCTGAGCTCATGAGTCTTAGGACTCATACCAGGAAGTCAGTTTTGTAGTTAGTCCTTTTTCTCCATCTTTTTGAAGAAGCTTCTTTTCTTAATTTATAAAAAGTGCACGTGCATGGTAAAAGAAAAAATTATTTCAAATAAACCTATGTAGAGTAAAAAGTAAGTCTCCATTATTACCCTAACCCACCCTACTTTCTGCAAGTACTAACACTTCCAGATAAATGCACAGATATACAATGAACATGTAAACATAAGGCTTTAAAGCAATTATGTTACAAAGTAGTACCAAATACTTCATCCTGAACTGCAGGTTGATTTCTTTCTTCCCCCCATTTAATAGCATGTGGTAGATATCTTTCTGTCTCAGTATATGTGGTTGTAACCTCATTTATTTAACCATTCTCATGTTTGTGGATATTTGTATTGTTTACAGTTTTTCTCATTATGCTGCAAAGAAACATTGTCACATACCTTTGGGTTGGAATATTACTATGAAAAAGAGTTGTAGAAATGAATTGCTGAGTTAAAGGGTATGTGTGTCTTCAATTTTAAGAGAATGTGGTAAATTTGAATAGGTTGCTTGAGTGTAGATTCCAGTAGAGTCAGAGAGTTGGTCTTCCTCACCCTTGTTTTCTACCTCTAAGCATAGAGCCTGGAGCCTAATACATGCTCAGTTGTTGCTTGATGAAGCAAATGAATATGTAAATATTTACAGATTGCCTTCTCTTGGTACAGTCTTACCAATGATATTCCAGAGAGTACCTGTTTCTTGTATCTGAGCCAATACCAAATACTAACAATCTGTTAAAAAATAGCACAGCCACTTTTAAGCTGTGTCTTAATAATATATATATGCTGCTTCATACAAAATTGTATATGTAGTTTTGTATGTGTATAGGAGTAATATGAATTTTTGAAGCTCCTCCTTAAAGGTCTTGGAACCGATAGTATAATTATGCAGTATGTGCTATGCCCAAGAAGGCCGGCTTCACTTTCCCTGGTCCACACTGGGTGCTTCTGTGTGCTCTGCACTTTCTGTGCTCTGCTGAATTGGTTTGTCCTCTGACCTCTTGCTGGTGACCACTTGTTGCATGACAGGCCTTTTGCAACTTTGCCTGTTTGGTGATGGCCCTGCATTTTACTCACTGTGTGTTGATGCTACTTCTTGGAGCTTGTGTGCTCTCTTTTTTTTTTTTTTGAAACAGAGTCTCACTTTATCACCCTGGATAGGGTGCCATGGCATTATAGCCCCACAGCAACCTCAAACTCTTGAGCTTAGGCAATTCTCTTGCCTCAGCCTCCTGAGTAGCTGGGACTATAGGTGCCCGCTACAACGCCCCACTATTTTTCAAAATGAGGTCTCACTCTGGCTGAGGCTTGTCTCGAACTCCTGAGCTCAGGGCAATCCACCCACCTCGGCCCCCCAGAGTGCTGGGATCACAGGCATGAGCCCCCAGTCCCAGCCCGCTTGTGTGCTCTCTTGCTATAAAGACATGTCTGTATTATATGCACAGCACATTTGGAGTTGATCTGTGTCTTGTTTTGAACCTCCTTCTAGGTACTTGTTTGCCTTGCAACTTAAGAGAGATCTGCTGGAGCAGCGTTTAACCTGTGCTGAAACCACAGCAGCCCTGCTCACGTCCCATCTTCTGCAGTGTTAGTATCTGGGGTTTCCCCCACTGGGACGGGGACCATCTGCTGTGATGTCACAGGGGCACCCACACTCGGGGACTGTACTTAGTTAGGTGCTGTGCACATTCCTAGTTAATGAGCCTGACCCCAATACTTCGTATAAGCTGAGGATTAACTTCTTCCAAGTGGAGCTCTCCAGGCAGATCTCATACAGACAGTCAAGGCCACGGTCTGTAGCCTCATGCATTCTCTCGACTTGTCTCTCACTTAGGCCTTTATGTGTCTTGACAATACATCTTCAGTCAAGGGTCAGACTTGCCCAGACTATCAGCATGATCTGAAAAGGGCCTCAGTAGGATAAAAGTTATGGTCCTCAATGATCAGCTAAGCATTAACCTTGAAGCAAAAGGAAAACATTTCCTCAGTATGTTACATGGACCAAGATACAGTTCAGAAATATGTGAAGAATTGTAGTTACTTCAGAAATAAACGGTGAGAAGTATTAAAGAGGAGTTTAGAGAAATGGTCATGTGCCTTCCAGTGGGCTCACAAAGCCGGCAACTGCAGGAAGAGGAAGAGGGAAATACATTGCTTGTGGACCAGAGGCTCAGCTTCTGGCACAGACCAGTGTCTCAAATTGGAATACAAGATGACGTAGAAAGTGTCAGAAATTTGGAGAATTAACAGGTGTGGGGGTTATTTATTGCTTCCTTGGTCCTTCCCCAGACATGCCTTCTTCAAATGCGATTTTGACGTTGGTTTGCCATCCTACACCATGGCACTTACTGACTATCCTTAATAAACATTTTCAAAGCTACTTTGTTTTCTTTTCATTTGGCCTGAAGACTTCTCAAGTAGACAGATGGCTTTTCAGCACGTTCTTTGGAACTGTGTGGTAAAGCCACTTGCTTGAGTTTCTTTGTGGCTTAGTTGGACCATCACATTGCTGAGACTGGTCTGCCCATAACTTTCACGTCAGAGGTGCACTGTGCAGACTGAAGGGCCCTCTAGACACGTGACAGCTGAATGCGTGATGGGTCCGACTGGCCGGATCTAAACTGGGTCTTCGGTCAACAAGGAAAAGTGGGCAGTTGGTAAAATGTGAACAACATCTGAGTCTGAGGGAGGGCAGTAGGTCATGGCCCCTCTGTTGATCCGAGTGTCAGACTGTGGTTGGGAGTAAGTGTCCTCCTGCTGGGAAACCCTTCTGAAGCTGGACGTTAGCTCACTCTCCAGTAACCACTGGAGGAGGACATGCTCCTGCACCGCCACATTTTAAGCTATTCTGCACTGTACTTGTAACTTTTCTGTGAATTTGAGGTTGTTTCAAAACAAACTATATTGCTTTAAATTATCGGCCTTTACTACTGTGTTTAAAACATTTGTGGCTCGGCGCCTATAGCTCAACCGGCTAAGGCGTCAGCCACGTACACCTAAGGTGGC